GTACCAATATTAATTTGTTTTAAGTATATCACAATAATGTAAGATATTTACATCAGAGGAAGGTATATAAAAACTATATAGGAGCTCTGCACCAATTCTGCAACTCTCCTATAAACGTAAAATTATTTCAAAATAAAAAGCATTTTAAAAGTTACAAAAATAAATTTTTAATTAAAAAAGAGAAAAAAAACGGCCAGGCAAGATGGCTCATGCCTATAATACTAGCACTCAGAGAGGCCCAGGCAGGAGATCACTTGAGCTCAGAGTTCAAGACCAGCCTGAACCAAGAGTGAAACCTCATCTGTACCTAAATAAAAAAATTAGCTGGGTGTCACATCATGACAGCTGTCTGTAGTCCCAGCTACTCAGGAGGCTGAGGCAGGACAATCATTTGAACCTAGGAGTTTAAAATTGCTGTGAGCTGGATGACACTGTGGCACTCTAGCCTGGGGGACAGAGTGAGAATCTGTCTTAAAACCCACGCACACAGCAATAAGTCATGATTTGTTGATCCTGTCCTAGAAGAAACCTTGGACACACACACCAAAACACACATACCAGGATTTTAATACCGACACTGTTTGCAACAGTCAAAACTAAAAACAACCTGCTATGGACTGAACGTTTGTGTTCCCCAGATTCATGTGATGAAGCCTAGTCCCTGTGTGATGGCATTGAGAGGTGGGGCTTTGGGGAGGTAATTAGGTCAGAAGGGTAGAGCCCTAGTGAATGGGATTAGTGCCCCCCCAGGAGAGGGCCCTCAACAGACATCAGATCTGCTGGTGCTTTGATTTTGGAATCCCAGCCTCCAGAATTGTGAGAAATAAACATTTATTGTTTTAGTCACCTAGTTTATGGTATTTTTGTTATAGCAGCCCAAAATGACTAGGATATAACCCATAATCCAGCAACTGTGGAATGGACAAATGAAATGTAGTAGTTATATAAGAGAATGTATCCGGCAGTGAGAATCAACAACCTGCAACAACATGGTGAGTGAAGAAGCCCAAACAACACAGAATACAATAAGATTGCATTTTGTTAATATTCAGTGGCAGGCTCAAGTCTTCAGAGAGCTATACTCAAAGTGATAAAAATTACTAGG